CTACACCGATTTGGCTGATTTTTTTTTTGTTGTGTTTGTTATTGTTAGGAGCAGGTTCTTAAGATAGAAAAAATCCTGAAAATCCTACGGGAATGGTAGAAAACGGGATTGCGCGTACGAAGTCGCGGGCCGAAGCTAGTACCTACGTAAATAAAACTATAGGTAACTCAATATTGCGTCCTTTGAAACGAGTAGAATAAAAAAATAGAAAAATAAAAAAAAGATGCTACGAATTTTTTTGCGGTGCATAGAAAAATAAATATTTATAAAATTATTAAAAAGACACAACCATCACCTGTACGTCAGAATATTAAATATGAAATGAATAATTAAGACATTTTGACATTTACCCGGGACCCTTAATTGGTATGTCAACAGTGAATGCATAATTTTTCATTAAAAATAAGACCGTAATCGAGAACAAGTTAATATATTTAATAAGCCTCAATTTTCAATCATCAATCACTCATATCTGTATGCTAGTAATTTTATACAAAGCTGTACTTGCTAGCAAAACGACACGTAAAAAATAAATAATGAAAAAACATGTAAAAAGTTCACAAACCCGTCTTAAATCGAAGTAAAATTAATCTGCACATTCACAAAGTAACATGTATTAAACATATAAATAAGTAAATAGTCGTTGGTTGCCTTAGAATAGTAATCTTTATATATATAATTCTTCTGTAAGTGTGTATGTCACTGAACTTCTCTCGAACGACTGGACCGATTTTGATGAATTTTTTTGTTTGTGTTCATGGGGATCTGGGAATGGTTTAGATTCACTAAATCACCCCGACAGATGGCGCAGCAGTCGATGTTCAGGTTATTTATCAAGTGGATATGCAGGACAACGTCTGTTGGGTCCGCTAGTTATTTATACCTCTATAATTATTGTTTAGTTCGCAACAGTTTCTAAACAATCGTAAGTTTCTGCAACTAAACGATCCCGATCAGAAGATTTTAAAAGAATTCCTTTTAAAAGAAATCCTGTTGAATTAAAAGCCTCTCCTCTTCTAAGAACACCTTTTGGGGGCTATCATCCAATGACTTCTCCCGCCTTGGGTTAGACGAGAGGGAGTGTCAGACTCTTACTGAGTAAAAATCACCCCGTTCTTTCTTCTGCTATTTGCGCCAAAGCCTCGGCAACCCGTTAAGTACTCCGCGGATCCGTGTCAGCATCAGCCCTACTGGCTCCATCTGTGGTGATCTGTTGGGTCTTTGATGGTCGGGCGGAGAGTTACTCGTGCTCGCCGTCCGCAGACCCGTGTTTACGGTGGCCGGAGATCGTCTCTTAAAGCCTACAAGAAGGATATAAAAAATATACGCATATGCATTATGTAATGAATTTAATCAATATTTTAGGTTTCAACACGACTATTAGTTTTTCGCAAGAATGATCCTGTTAGATTGAATGCGTAATCCTGCTCTCAAACTATTGAACACGTGTTCTAGTTATGTGCATGCACAGAAACACTCACTCTATGTACATATAAATATGTATGTGCATTCGATAGAAAATGTACTAGTTCCTACAACCCGTTACTGCACGTGCATAATATAAAACAGTCAAAACGATGTGTTACCATCGTTTCAGGAATTTGGGGCACTTTTTGGAAATGTATTAAAAACATTGCTTAATAGAACGTCTTTGTTTTCTTATAGGTACAGTTTTAAGTACTAGTTCAGTGTTCGGATTAGTAAGTCCGAAATACACAATATTTATGTCACTTTCTCAAAGTACTGAACAACTCGGATTTAAACTACACTGCCGTTGACGTCTTAATCTATTCAAAACATTAAGTTTATTATCGCTCCCCATATCTTCATAGTTATTTGATGTAAATAACAGTTTTTCTTAACGAAACTACCCATATTATAGTTGGAATGTGAAACCGGTTTACCTTCGCGTTTTTTCACGGCACCACAACTAAACTTAGTTACTACAACACCTTATTTAACGGAAATATCACGTTAATTAAGTAAACGCCTAAAAACTAAATGCTTTATACTAAAATGGAGTTCGTGTAATTTTAAATTAAATAATGATTTAGATAACTTTACTCTATTAATGAGCGCAATGTCTCGGAACTGAGTCTTACAAAAACGACAACTCGGTAAAAGGCCCGATTAAACTACAATTAATAACGGTTAATTAAAAGTATTTATTAATATCCTCATACTCCTATAAATATTAAATGGTAATAAAGAACGTAATTTCCACAAAATGTAAATGGTTTCGTACTGATTTATCCACGTTTTTGTTCCAATATAATAACTTTGAGTGCGCTAAGTGCCGCCGGCGAAACGTCCTCCTGGTCAAATTGACGCTCGTAAGTTGGCAACATTTGTATATTCTTTATAATTACGGCATGCCACTCCTGCCAGGAAACATAAGAATGTTTTTACCGCATAAATATTTTTCATTGAAATACACAATTATGTTTTATCGCTAAATATAAATTAAACGCACGCTCGCATTCTCACTTTTTCTTGCATTGTTACACACAACCCCACCTGCGCTGCGTCTGGGCATCGCTCTACTATGTTTTTACCCTACAATTTATAGGTTGATGTATAAATTGTACCTATATGTCATTGTTCAATACATTGCAAACGTCTTTTGATTGATTGCCTTTAAGTAGGATATTATAAAGTGCCTCTTTATGACATACAACATAGAATTATTAATACGTTAGTACTGGATACCATTGTTCCACAGACAGACTATTGTTTATGAGCCGTGTTAAAATGAAGTTCTCAAACATGACTTCAGACAGCAATTAATATGACTTACGAAGAATTCCGAATGTTACATTTATTTGCTACTCAGTCCAAACTAATTGGCAAGTGAAATCTAAACGGTTTCACGATTTTTATTGTTTCAAGCTAATTATTTATCGTCTCGTAATTATTGTTGGTTTTTATTTTATTTTGCAATAATAAAAACTACGCCCGGTATCCAGTTAGTATAATAAATATATTTAGTTGTGATTTATTCAGTACGATGCCTAGTTTTTTGGTTAAATTACCTACGTTGTGTACTTTTTTGAGAAGAAAAAAAAACTAAAATTGATACGTGAACGTGTTTGTGTATTGTTGCCATATTTTATTCGCCCAGTGTATCGAAAAATTCTTTTAAAATTTATTACGCCCGTGAAAGCAGACATAAAAATAAATGTAGTTCTTTATGTTGCATACACATGCTACACTAGTATTTTCAAAGGGAGTCTGGAAATTTTGTAGTCGGTAGGTATATATTTGACACATGACAATTTGACACAATTACAATATGTCTATTGTATTTTACGCAATATGTTATGTATATTGTATTTTGTACAATATGTTATGTATATTGTATTTTATTGTTTATGAATACAATTTAAAAATCCGATTTAGGTAATTTACTTTCAGTGACTTAAAAATTATTTTATTTGAACATGAACAGTTATCTGTACCTACCTTTAATTTAATAAAAATATTTAAGAAAATGGACGTCAAAACCTCACTGTCACTAGTATTTGGATAATTATTGTTTCTTTTTTTGTACACGAAGTGCCTTTATTTTAGTTTACAGACAACAGACAATTTATGTTTTGTCTTGTAAATACGAGTAGAATATGGAATAGAAAATAATAATGTTATCCTTTAATAGTAGATTATTTAGTGGTAAATAAATAAATAATGTTATACAAACATAAAACTCTTTTAACTTTAAGACACTTAGGGCTACTGTGCACGTCACTGCACTGCAATTGACGAATGCAAGACGAATGCTTGTATCTTGTGTAGAGCGAATCAAAACTCTGTCCACGTCGCGTCAACCGCGGTTTATAACAAATATGCAAAAGCCTGCGTCATTCGATGGATGCAGGCATTCTACAAATGACGCAACGTGTACAATAGCCCTTAGGTACAGCCAGTGTCAACGAACTATTTAAGTAGGTAACAAATAATTTGAAACGAAGTTATTGTAAAAAGTAAAGAGAGAAATAGACTGTGTTCTCTGTTTAAAAAAAATGCTCAACGATGTAATTTTTACATTTATATTAAAATTTAATTTTAGGTCAAGGTAATGCCATTATCAACGAAGACTGTACTTTATTTTGACATGTGTAAAATCGATATCACAAAATTCCATGCAGTTTTATTTTTCCCGCTAATTTTTTAATTATTTTTTTTTCTCTTAGAAACAGGTTCCTTTATCGTGAGGTCAGTATGTAGGATGTATCTTATTATGTAATTATAATTACTATTAATGTTTTTGTACTCCTGTTTTTTACTTGTTATTACAGTTACAACCTTAAAAGGATTGTAATATACAGATGTATATTAATTATACAAATATTAATGATGTTACATCCATTTTTAATATGACATTTGTTAGTTACAGAATCTGTAATTTACTTTTTCAACTATTATGTTATTCTTGTTTTGTAAAACATAGGTACTTTTGGAGTGGATTTTGCTAATAAAATGTATGAATGCAATAAGCAACGATCTGAGGTGCTAATTATTGTTACTAAGTTAAAGTATAAGCAGGTGCCTTAAGGTTCAAGTTGTATAATTAAATATTAAACAATTTTATTATAAATTAATGACACCTTGCAAATAAAATTGGTGTTTGAACTAGATTGCTTTGGTCAAGTTATTAAATACGAAATTTTATATAATTTAATATAGATAATTATTAAATTGATACAAACAAACATATTTAAAAATAAATACGAAATATATTTATTTACATGAACAATTTCAGTTTTAATTTAGATTATATTATCTACGTATCTAGAGGTACCTACTTAATTGATGATATAATATTTTTGATATCGTAAATGGAACTTGATTTTTACAAGACAAACTCGCAGGATGTAGACGTGTTCATTTAAATTTGTTGTACCTACTACTACTAATCTATAATTAATCAAACAATAATCTATATGACCATCACACAATCCCACAAGAATGTATATTAACACGTCAATATATCACTTCGACAGATAGCTACCAATATCAACTCCAGTCGATGTGGCAGAAGTGCTGGAACACGCAGACACTGGTCCACAACCTGCGGTTCCGCGAACGCGGCCCACTCAAGTCCTGGCGGCCAGAGACTATGGCCGAAGCCATCTTCTCCGTGCTGAAGGAAGGGCTCTCACTCTCGCAGGCGGCCCGCAAATATGATATCCCCTACCCCACCTTCGTGCTATACGCCAACCGGGTCCACAACATGCTGGGACCCAGCGCTGATGGTGGTGCAGGTATGTCCAACCATTGTTCTATTTCAAAGCTCGGATTACTGGCGAAAGCCCCTTGTAGTCTACATTGTTTATCATAAATCCCATTCTCTATGATGTTGACCATTAAATTAATTAGAATTTTCCGTCGCAAGATATTTTTTTTACACTGCAAGCCGCGTCCGCCAGTCTTATCCCGGCTTAACGACAAGTGCAGATGTTCGCCATTTTATAATAGCGCCCCGTCTCCGCTTGTCATGAATGTTGTCACAGGTTACTTTATTATATTTTTTTTTATTATTAAACATCGATTATGTTTGACAGTTCGAGTCTTAAGTAGTTATGAAGGGGAACGTAAAAACTGTACTTGATTTATCGTGTTGACGTATTGAAAGCTACGTCCACTGACGCAAACTTTGCAAAAAAATTGAATTAGGTTGCAACTAGAATATCGTTTTTTTTTACTAAAATTTTAAATAATTTAACTTTTACATAAAAATAGAATACAATCAATGACGGTGGTTTAGCAAATCTGCCGTCTGCAATGTAACAAAACCGATACTGTCTGTCAATGTCTATAAGTCCTAATTTGAAATGAAAGGATGCAAGTAACCTGTGCCACGGCATTCTGTGAAAGCCACTAAAAACACCGTACAATAGGAACTAATCAGCATATAATATAAAATGTTTGTCTATGTGTATATATAAGGTGTGTGCGAATATTTTTAGCGTTGCGAAGTTATCTGCTATGCGAGCGCTCTGATTACATGTCACAGTATGTCTATGATACATGGAGATGATCACGTATTTCCTATATATGGTAGGCCACTTGGTAATTGATTCCTGGTTTGGGCTTCATCTAGAGAACGACACAAGAAAACGTATTTTAAACACACGGAATAACGTTCCAACGTAATTATAATATGTAATATTACAATACTGAAATAATACTTACTATTCGCATGCGACAACAAAGTTGTCCAGCTTATCCATTATAGTTACAGATGTTATCGGGCAAAGTAAATAATCTCGGGTTTTTAGTGAAATAAGGGTATCTCAATGTCTAGCTATAAACCTTAACGTTCCTAGGAATGAAAAAATAGAGCTATAGTTATGAAACTTAAATGTACTGTACCTATATTAATTGTAGATTTACTATGTTTTTGTGCTTTTAAACCAGAATAAATAAACTGGTACCGTCTGATGGTAACCGCTTGTCATCAGACGCTGTAAGCTTTTTTGCTGTTAATAGTAAAATATATGAATCTGTATACTATCTCCCCGCATATATTCCCATCTTCATATATTCGTATTTACGGGGGTATGTTGACAACCCCCGTAAAACGTAATAATTAAAAGGCAAAATCAACTAATCTTACACATTGCTGATGGACCGACAGCTATTCTGTACAATGCCTAGGGATAAATTACATGCATACCAAATTAGGTATGTAATGGAAAAACATATTCGTATTATTTCATACATTATCTAAATGTCCCCTGTATGTTGTACATTACCTAGGTATTGTACATTATACTCAATGCCAGTTACTTTGTATCGAGTTAAGTGGTACATTCCGGAGTTCAGATGACGAGCGTTAAGGCGCTTTACCGGTCAGTGTGCAGTCTTACCCATTGGTTACTTCTCACAAAAACGTCTAATGAAAAAAGCGTTATCGCGCGCCAATGACGTATAAATAAATTTCTTTTTGCCAGCGCGCGCTAACGATTTTTCCATGTACACTGTTACCGTGCATCCTCGCGTGCCCACGCGCATTATCACTCGATTGGCATTTGTAAAAAACTCGCTTTGGTTTTCTGTCAGAGCCCACCCCTAGTTTTCGTCATCTGAACTCAGTCTTATCCCGTTCCCCTCATTCTCCTCACGTAGTTAAGTTTCAGTAGGTAATATTGATCCTCTTTACGCCGAGTTGTAGAAGTAATAATGTTGTTTTTTCTTTTTACTCTGCGGCTAAAGAGCTCACCATTGCAAGTAAGTTAGATGTATACTTCATTAACTACCTGGCCACGGGGAATTCGCTGCAGCGGCAGCGACAGCGGCGGGCGGCTCGCTCAGTACACTCCCAGACATTTGTTTCTGCCGCCTGTCGCACTCGTCGCTCACGCTGTCGCTGTGGCTAATTCCCCGCGGCTGTGAGATTTCATGTTCGATGTGCCGATACCTTATTTTAATTTGGCGTAGTTTTCTTGTGTCGTGTTAACAGCTTCGTGGCAGATATTTGAAGCATACAATGTGTTTGTCGAGCAATTCTGACTAAGCTTTATGTACCGCAATGACCTAAGCATTTACGTCGACGATGCGAGCCACCTCGCCATGAAAGCCTCGCACAGTCGATACTCCCTTTATGTAACTACTTAATTTTTTTTACACCTAATCCCCGTACAGCTTGTTCGAAATATGCATCTTCCTTATAAACTATCTAGCTCTGTATATTCAATTCCTCGCCGTTATTTATGAATGTTTCGAATAAGCTATTACAACAGAACGCCAAATACCTTACGTGTTCACGTTTTACTATTATGCGACTTTACAGATTTAAGACCAAAGGGAAGGGGACGACCACAAAGGATCTTACTGGGCGTATGGCCCGACGAGCACATTCGAGGAGTAATCCGCGCGGTAGTGTTCAGAGACACCCACGCGCCCTGCGCCCCGCAGGCCACGAACCTTAAAGAGATCGAACTGCCGGGCTACCCCGCCATCGCACCGGTCAGTATCACACATGTTGCGCAGCCCGACACCACGCTGGCTGCTCTCGGTATTCTTTCTTCGCTGTTTTACGTCACCCACAGAATGGTGCATCCCACTATTGTATTATTATCATAACAATGCCATACATACGTGACCTTTGACGTAAGATTGCGACTAAGAAGCACTAACAATTTTGCACAAACTTAGTATAATGTTATATATTTGGCCCCATGTCTCCGCAGCTATGCGAAAATGCCATTGCGATCGTCAATTACCATAAATGGCTATGCGGTTGCCATGCTCACATTTGGTTCCATAAGTTATAGACATTTGTTCACGAGACTGATGTAAACATCGACTTGCGATCTTGTAGAGTGTCGAGCAAGCATTGTATGTGGCGGTGTGCGTGTTTCAGGACGGTGTGGCCGTTCCAAATGCTTACATCGGATGTGGCAACGGCCGCGAGGGCCGCATGTCTCCCAACGCCGCCGCCGCCGCTGCCGTGGCTGCCGTGGCGCACGGGCTGCGCCGGCAGATGTGCAACATGGTGGCCGGCCAGCGCCCGCCCGATCATCCGCCACACATGGGCCCGCCCATGCAGTCGTCGCCGCAGCTCACGTCACCGCTCTCCACCGGGCTAGAGTCTCCCCTGTGCTCGCCCCCGCCACCTGGCCACGCGCTGGAGCCCGCCAAGCATCCAGATCCATTCCGCCCCTTCGCCTCACCGACTGAGAGCCGCTACAGCGACCGCGATACTGCTTCTGATATTACGCTGATGGGTCCCCCAAAGAATGGACAAGGTCATGCCAGGAAGAGCTCTGGCCAAGGCTCGTCGCCCTCCGAGCTGGATGCGGTAGACGGGCGCGCGGACATCTGAAGCGAGGCCGCGGGCATGGTGCCGGTGATGCCGCCTATGGGCCTGCCACCGCCGCCGATCCCGATGCCCGCGTACAAGTACTTCGTCCCGAACGGAAACAGCTCCACCTATTATTAAACCGTAACGACGCGGGGTTCCTACCACCGACAGAGCTCCCTCACCCGACCGGGTAGTGCCACTCTATGCTCTATGGACCCCACGCCCGATACATTGTCTCTCTTTCAAACTGTAAGCCGATATAACAGTCGACGTCATTAATTTTTATCACCGCAGTACAGTCAGCATCATTAACAGCGATATGTTTCAATTTATTGCATTTACACTAGAGCTTGAAAGCACGTGTTATGGTGCTGACTGTGTAAATGAGATGATTTATTTGAATTTATGAAACTTTCTGAAACCTCGTGAAACCAGATCGAATAAGATCATTCCTTGCAACCCAAAGAATTTGTGTGAATCTGTAATGTATTTTTGTTGACAAGTGTTTTATGTTTTATGCGGGACAGTTAAAACTGCGGTGAAGTTGCAAACAATATTGGCGGTATAAGGAGACACGACACTGCGCTGTCGCATAGTACTCGCTACCGTCAGGCGGATCGAAGCGACCAGCCGCGAGATGCCAAATGCTGCAATCCTCGGATGTGGGATTGCAAGCAGAGAGTAATATAATCGTGTGAAGTGTGTGTCGGTGTAGACAGACACATTGAGGTTCGTTGCGCCCGTTGCACATTCCAAGGACGAACTGGAGCTGTTTACCACTCGGAGTTTAGAGACGATCACGTGACGGGCCCGAGACGGGTTAAGTTGTTTTAATCAATATTTCAAATCGGCATTAATTTATGATCATATTTAATAAATTATTGTGGACTCGCTGTGCAATACAATGCTTTGTTATTAGTTAACTTTTGTAACATTATGGATTTATTATAATTTTATCATTATGTATTGTGTTCCATTGATATATTTTAAGTTTTCTTTAATATTGTTTGATGGGCACGGGTGCGTGGTCGGCCACTCAGTGCGCCGGCGCCGCCCGATTTCCACACACTATTATAATCTTATCATAAGTAGAACTTCGAGATACGTGTAAGCTTAAACTAATACATTACAATCTAGATCCATCTGTGAACGTAGGGATTATCAAAATTAAAAAAAAATATATTATATATACGTATGTATACATTATATAATATATGTATATTTATTCGGCCCGATTCAAAAGACTGTTCGGTATACCTATTCATTATGATTCAGCAAACATATTTAAGTAATGATGAAATGATGGATTATCGTTAGATTTAATTCTTTAAAGTGTAGCTGTCCTCTCGTTTCATGTCAGGTCGATGTCAATTTCTCTAGTAACCGTCATAGTGGATAGTGTGTGTTGTCGCTTGCGGGGATCCCGCTTCTCAGCTCATTGTTCACTGTTCGTGCAGCGATTCACATACGTGTAGAATTAGTGATCGCCAAATGTAATTTAGATGTACTCGTATCGTTAGTCAGTAGTGATTGTTCCAAATGTTAGGCTATGTTAGGTGTACGCGACGGTGCCCGCTTCTAACTGTTAACAGACAAACCCCTGGCCCAAGGCACACGATCAGAATCATATAATATTTTGATTCTAACTGTACTTTTCTAGTGTGGCAACATTTTAGAACCGAGCGTTCTTTTTCTAAAATACTTATGAATCAATTCAACTTTTGGATTGTTGTGCAGGCGTTCAAAACGCCTATAAACGTGGTTATATTTAATGCTACGATGTTTTAGTTATTATATTATTTTCTGTTAAATGTTCAAGGCTCGTTATTTATAATTTAAATGTTTATAATACACGTAAGTGACGGAATTAAAGTTTGATGTTACCACGGCAAGGAGATTGTACGCTGAAAAGACAGAACAAATAATTTAAAACAAAACACAAGATGTACTCTTTGTACACAAACTTAATTCACGTCAATACTTGTGTTGCCGCTCTACAAAAGTACAAGATGTCACATTCTCTCAATGACCCAGATTTTTTATTATATTTAAGTAATAATTTTGTTACACTAAGAGATTGTAAAGCTTATTAATAAAATAGTGTAATTTAATTAAGAACTACGGATAAATACAAGATTATTTTATTTAATGAAGCTTTCGGAAACAAGTTTAAGGCTCACAGCTAAAACTTTCTTACAATGATCTCATGACTTGACTGACTTTATGGTTTACTAGCAAAGAGCTAGTATGACCTAGGGTTGCAACGATCTTCACATGTGATGACAGAATCACTTATTAAAATGTAATACAGATTTTCTCTTCCCAATATATCGTTTGATCCGAAACTTCGTGAGACTTCTATATAAGCGTTAACTCGGAGGAGCGAGGCCCGTCGTACTTAGATTTAGGTGCACTAAAATCGCCAAGTACCTACTGAATGTTCATCATTCATTTGTCTGCTATACCACCTATGCATGATTAGTATTATACATTTCAATTTGCTTATATTAGCTATGTAACTACTCGTAGCGAGATCCAGTGTTATTCGACGCTCTATCCCGCGGGGCGGAGGTGCGCACGCGCCCTCGCCTCGTGTGTGTCGCCGTCGCTAGGACTTTAAGGTGTGTATGTACAAATTTGTTTTATCAACAACTACTTCCTGGACGCATAATTTCGTTTCATAGTTTGGATTAAAAATTACTAGTGTTACCTTCTTGCCGCAGGGGTATCCACGATTTAGGTATTGTTGGCGGAAATTGTTGGCGTTCACGTATTCATTTGTCGCGTTGTGGGGAGAGGCTGGCGCGTAGGAGGCGCGCACAGCGAGTGCGCTGCGCGTGCGACTGCGCGCCGGCGAGGACTCGTCGCAAAACATGGTGACCATGTTTTATAATTAGTCTCCAAGTGGCCTTGATACTTCATTATTATTTTGGTATTTGGAATATCCGGTTTGGTTAAAGTTTGGAACTAGAATATAAAAAAGACCAAATTATTAAATTTGTGAAAAAATTATTACATCTGCAATTCAGATTAATGTTAAAACTATTTGGCTGTCCTTTTGGAAATAAATTTAATCTAGGTAAAAAAAATTAAAAATTATATACTGGGCCTATAACGTTTCGGACGAATTGCGTAGATTTTGGTAAATTTTACTACGCATATTTTCTATTGTGTAAGGTTAGGCTAATGTGTTCAAAAAAATAAATTAAAATTTAAATTTTTTGAAAAGTAGAAAGTGCCTTCCAAATTTTTGACCACAGTAAGTGTTGGGGGGGATGCGGCGAAGTGGGGTTGGGGGTGGCTGGCAGCAGCCGGGCAGGGCAGGGCTCAGCGAGACGCGGGTACGTGCCAGTACAGCGCCGCACTGCTGCTACCCGCCACCCGAACGTGCTTAAATATAAAAGTTAGAATAAAATAAAAATTCAAAATTATTATATAAAAGATAAATACATATGACTATTATATAGAAAAAAATATACATAAAATTATATATTTGGGCGATGTGGTAATACCCTGACAGGCAAGCGATAGCTAACTATTCGGTGTCCAAATTGATTCTATTTCTTTGTGAACGATCACACGGTCGCTAAAATCCATTAATTAAACAATGCAGACATGCAAGTGCCATTTGTTTTAAACTGAATCACTTATGGTTCATATTTTTTTGTATCAGAATGTGGATTTTGTAGTTATAATTAATCATTAATTTATTGTATTGGAAAAAATATACATTTCGGATAACATAAATAAGTACCTATGTGTTATTTTCGTGATAGATAAGTAAAAACAACTTGTAGTAATATAATATACACCTACGGAGGCGGTTTTGGTTCGTTTGTAATTTACATGAATAGATGTTAATTTTTTTTATATTAGTTAATCTAATCGTTACTGGCGACCATTACAATGTGTTATACTGCATGACAAATCTTAACTTTTTTGTGATAAATATATATAATTTGAAGAACGATATTGTATATCTACTGATATGATTGCTCTTTTGGATTATTATAATTGTGGATATTTATTTGATGTAGCGCAACTGCCGCTGTTGGGCTCAAATTGACCTTTACTTTAGTAGCATGTCCATTGTAACCAAAAATATTTTACTTTTACAATTCCAGTGTTTAATGTGCGACTGTTTAGTTTTAAGTATCATTGTCGTTAGGTATCTGCATACTGGTACCTATATATATTGTCTACTTGCTTTTTACTACTTGTAGGTATCAGGTAACGACCTAGGTACATATCACAGATTAGGTTTTGTCACCCCAGTACTTTTGTAAGTAGTATTATTAGTTAGATTTTTGTTAATAGATTTTCACTTAAACCTATACTTCCTTCTTCATCTTATTTGTGTCTTCTTAAATGAAATCAGTTGGGTTGATCCACTGCGTTGACCTGTCTTATTATTGGGATGACAAAATCAAATGAAACAAGTATTTTCAAAAAAAAAAAAAAATGTAATTTTAATTTAATACAATATTGTAAACAAACGTTAACTTGGTTAGTCAGCGATAATGCTATTGTTATTAGATTTCACTATAACACCGGTAGGTTCTGGCAAAGTTTTGTGTATTAGAAAAAGAAGCTTAGGTACTCCATATACAATGTACCCAGAAATAGTAAATTAGTAATAGACAAAACAGTGTCAGGACCGCGGTGAGCACAGGTTACTTCTTTAATTCAGTTATTTATTATTAAGATAATTTCGAACTTATGTTATTCTGTGTTCCTGAAATGGTGTAACTTTATTTGTATGTAGGTAAACACGTATAATTATAATAACTGTAAGTAAGTGTTTAGACTGTTGCCACGCTATATCTACACTATCTCAGTAGAATCATCGTTTCGTAACCCATCTCTTCGAATAACGTTCGAATCTTACGATATATTTATGTGGAGTCTCAAAGCAGATAATTCGCTACAATCGCTATATTCTTAGTGGTGTTACGATTACTTATAAAGGCACAGAGTTAGTAAACGATGATTGTACTAGTGGCACACTAATATCGATACATTCAGTGTTTATCTTAAGTACAATTTATGAAAATTGATGTAATCTTTTATTCATGCTGGTATTCGTATAGATGTTACCCAAGTGAACACAGGTCTATAATGGCCGGTAAATAAATACATTGTATGTAGTATATCTGTCTCCATTAAATTCATTAATTTAAGTTTGTTATTGTCACAGTGTACCGTTGTCTGAATAAATAATATAACATGAAAATAGAGCAAGCGTGTTGTTTTATTTCTGAGTAGTTATTTTTTTATTTTGTTTTGTTTTGCCCTGTCCCCTGGTATGTAGGGAACTGTTTATAGATGGCGCTAATGTTTATTTACATCTTTACAATTCTTTTGGAGGTTACCATTCAGCTCAATAGATGTCGCTAAAGTAGCGATTGATCCAGATGCAGTGATTGGATAATTAGCTGTCATGATACATGAGCTCTATCTGGTGGCCAAGAAGCCGAAGCCCTAAGACTGAATTTTGTGCATATTTCTAGGTTTTTAGGAATGTTAACAGAAGTTGTAGCATTTATTAAAAAAACATTGAATTTAATTAAGTAGTTTAGTATATATTATACGTACTACTAAACTACCGTTTAGGCATTCTCCATTAGGTATGGAGAAATATGGAGAATAACGGGAAATATTAATCTCCTTCTCCTATGAATAGGTAATTCAGTACATCACTTACTTCAGAGTCACCAAGTTAAGTAGGCTCAACCTCACATACACGCAGGTGGTTTGATTTACATAAAACGTGCAGTCATAGGAGCGCCCCCTCGCTCTATTTAGTGGCAATTCTGAATGTGAATAGAAGAACGGATAGAAGCCTAGATAGCCTTGACTAATATCTTATAGGTTCTATTTAATCGAAAATAGCAACACAGCAAAATATAATTTATCTGTGTCTACTTGGTACCTGTGTTTACTTGGGCGGTAGGTAGGTAACCCTAAAAATAAACATTGCATATCTTCGAGATTAGTTTTAATGTAGGTATAGATATTAACTTAACAATACTAATATCTGTAGCCTAACCAAGCCCGTTATATTACAAAGTTAAAGAAACTAAAATTTGACAAGTTGGAGTATACATGTGGTACATGGCACCCTGACGTCACAAAGTGGTGCATAAATTTGATAGATCTTGATGCATTTTTTTCATTATTGTACCAGGATATAGAGGTATAATGTAGCAAAACATAATTATACAAATAATGTTACAAATGACTTAATACATTGCATGATAGACCATTAGACAAACAGTAATAAATAAGCCGATGATGTAGGTGGCTAGGCTACATCATGTTACAATGTCCAACCAACCTAGTTATTTTGTTGAAGGTCAAAAATAAACGAAAATTTTGCTCACAAGATGTTGTCACAATATTTTTTTTAGCGGTGTGTTGTGATTACTTTCATATACATACTTACTACATTCTCAATTTCACATGCAAGTTAGTAGTGCTGTGATTAGCAAATTTTTCATTTTATGACGAATTTTGACGCAAACTGCAATAAAGCAGTTTGTTAACATTGAGAGTAGTATACATTTTGGTTTACACGAGAAATTGTTTTACATAATTATATTATGAATGTCGGCGAGGTAGGACAGAACGTAAATATAATAAATAAGTATAAAATAAATAAAGAGGGTACTTAGATCTACGTATCTTAACGCTAATAAGTCGATTATAATGTAGGTATGATAACTGTGTCATATGTAAGTAGGTATGTAAGTAGTTTAGATTATTCATAGTCCATAGGTATCTTACGAGACTAACAACCTTTAATAGAATTATGTAATATGAGTAAATGCTTAGAGTACTTCCTAATTGGTATAGTTGACGAAAAGTTTATAGTACGTAGGTATATTATATCAATGACGATCAAAATCTATTTAATAAAACCATGCTCAGAAATGTATCAGAACCTCAACTGAGAACTTTTGAATAACGCCATCTACTGACATATTCAAGAAACCAAAGTTCCTCAGATCCAAAACACCAAACCCAAAAGGCTCGAGCAAGATGATAAAATAAAGTCATTAAATGCCACTAAGCCGACCTTAGGTCAAAATTGCAAAATTCTCAGTCCTATCACTCTTTCTACGATACTGTTTTATAGTCACTATCACTAAATATTAAAATTAATTCGCAAATAGAAAAAATCTTTGCTGTAATGGTACTTTTAGCCTGCACAACCTACTAACACCTCCAGCGTTTGAGGCATATGCTCTGAATTACCATTTTGGTAAGTACCTAATTCTATAACATACATTAAGCTTTTCCATTGTGCACTTTGAGGAACACAATAATATAGGCAGTGTATTGTCTATACGGCTCAAAAACATTTATTACAACTACAAATAGAAGCTAAACTTAGTACCAATTATGTACCTACAGAACGCAGTAAAATCTATCATAAAATGTATTGTTTTGATTGTTTTCTACCAATCGCTGTCTAGCGGTAGTCGCAGTAGCCCAAATGCTAAGCACTCAACAATCCAATCCGAATGTTTGCCCGGTCTTACATAATGTCTGCCAGAAAGTAAGTTCGCTCCCAAAAAAATGGCGCACGCACCACGACAAACCTCTCAACGTCTCAAAGATTAAAGCGCCATCTCCTACTTATGACATGAACTACTTTTAGCCGTAGTGAAACCAATACCATTTTAATTTGTTTGAGTGTTCAACAGAGGTCTCTCTAAGCTATAGTAAAGTAGTACCATTGTAATGTTGTATGTGTCTGTGGCAGCCTTAGATAAGGTGGCAATAGCACATGGAATGGAACGTTGATAGGAAACTGAACCGAGCGAATAAAGCATTGAAGAAAAAATTCAATTATGACATGCTCTCAAATATCCTCACTTTAAAGGCCGTTAGGACGCTAGATCAAGACAAAGATTACACTTACAGGCCAAAGATGCAGTTGAAAGAATTAACATCGAGAGTTCGCAAAAATAACATTTTAGCATTGGGTTCTTTAACTATCCAAGCCATGGGAGAACCCATTCAAACTGCTTTGAAAATTAACTAAATTTGGCAGAATTCCTACTCGTATATACGGAGACGTTAAGTTGCACAATAATTATAGTAGTCACAAATTCCAAATAAATTATTACCTTACTAACTTCATTATGTATTGTCTTTGAATTAAAACCAGTCGAAGGCCTATCTCATTAAATAGCAGGGCCGGTTCTATCAGTCAAAGTCTGGTCAAGATCAGTTACCAGTCAAATACAAAATGTAGGCTTGAAAATATGTAGATACCTAATGAATAAAAAATATTTTTTTTTCTGAATTACTATTGTATAAGTACTATTTAAAAATATTGATTTTAAGATTTTATGAGATGTGATTTTTATGAAAACTGGTATTCTTGATACCCCTGTAGCAACTAAGTATATTTGGACGGAGAGTCAAAAACTCTGTCCTGTTTTTTTTAACTTCATTTCACTAGTCGCTCATTGTGCTTCTATGAAAATATATTGGCTTTGTGGCCATTGGTAAACGTTTTACGAAGCTGTTAAGTCTATAGTATAATATCTAGACTATCAACTACAGACTAACAAAATAATAACAATAACCTTACCAAAACTTTACTACCTTTACGCCCCCTTTCATTATCTGGATATGTTCTAACCATAAGTTAAAATCAAGAACTAGTCAGAGAATTATAAAACGGTTAATAATAATAAAAAAAAAACAAAAACAACATAAATCGTAAAACAAAACAGAAAAGAAACAAAATAAAAACTTGAAAACAATTGAATTTATTATAATTATACATAAAAGCAAAAGGAATTGAAGAAATAAAAGTGAAATAATAACAACCCGACATTGCCGTCTAGTACCACCATACATGCAGTTGTGCTGTCAATTTGTTCGAACGGGCGATACGCACGCGCGGCGACGACGCGCAATTACTTATTGTAAGTAACTTCGGTGACCATTTTAAGGATTTGAAACAAAACAACAACAATTTCATAAAAAAGTAAGTACATACTGATTAACAGTAACGTTGCGAGTCGTCTCCCGCGCTCGTAAGTATATCGCTACAATAAAATAACCCAAGTATGTGATCAAAACTGCCCCATTTAATTTTCAGCTCCCCATGTTTCACGCACGTTACGAATACACGGCGCACACTCGCCCGTTTACTTGACAGAATTCGTTGGTGAATTGGAAATTACATAATAAAATTAATAAGATTCGATAGAAAATGCCGTAGTTACATCGGGGCTAGAAATATGTATCAACTATGTTATACTTGAGCAAAGTGTGGAAAATGTAGGTACGAGGTCCATGCGACCGGTGGACTCATCCACGGACTGTCAATGTTATCGACTACACGGGCCAAACATGGTACGCCAACTAATTTATTTCTAACCCCGGCTATGGAAACATTTTGGTTTTACAAAATACTTAGTGTAATAATTACATTTTAAAACTAAAAAGAACTACAATAAGCCGTAACTAATTAAATTTCATGTCCATCATTACTTCCGCGACAGTTCCGCGTCTGATCTTAGAACTAATAACAAATAGAGACCGAATGTATTTCAAAAGGAGGTGAAGGGTAGATAACAAAGACATACAGCTGAGTGTGATGGTCGGTAGTACAGGAGTAACTACAATTTAATACTTTAAATATTACACTATAACTATGCTTCAGTCTTCGTTTAATTATTTAATATTACAGCCATTTATGAAGAGTAGCGGCTACATAAACGCGACCTTCAATGACCACATTATTATTTGTATATAAATATACCGGGTGGTCCAAGTAGTGACGTAAATTTTATTTTAGATTCCTCACAGCTGGGTGTGTCCAAAAATACCCCATGTATGTTCTGCATTTTTTGTAGTTTTCGAATTATACTTGTTTTTGCGTTTTTGTTAATGTGAATACATTAAGTGTGAGAGTTGTATTATTTTTCCAGAAAGATCTATTAGGCATGCACGGCCGGTCGAATGGTCTGTTCCTTCGCTACCCCATCGATTTTTTTTGTTTGGGGATTCTACAAAGACCTGTACACGGGAGACAGCAACAACGAAACAGAATTACAGAAGCAGAAATACAAGAATATTATTCGAGTAGCTTCAGTCAATTGTGTATTCAAGTTTGAGAGAGGGAGAATTTTGAAAATTTGTTGCAAACAGTAAGTTGTCCCAATCTTATCCAAAAACAGGTACTTTCACATTCATTGCAAACATTACACAGTCATGTTACCGGAATTTCGATAAAAATATATTCCAATTCTAATTTTTACTTTAGTCGATTTCAAATGCCGATGATAACAAAAAGGCTTATAAAGTACTATTTTTTACGATATTAGTAGTTCAGGACCCTACAAAGTTCTTAAACTTAGCTTGAAGCTATAAAATCTGCTTTTTTATATTTTTAAATCGGTGTTAAATTTTTGAGTAAATGCTGCTTCAAACTAAAGTTCTTACTTACAACCCGTATTTGGGTAACTTAAACCAATTTCAGGACGCTAAGTTATTGTTATATTAACACAACATTTAAGACAATGATGTCAGAAATGGCACCAAAATACGTCAAAAAGTTATGAATTTCTGAAACCTTAATAAAAACACGTACAAGTAACTCAAAAAATCGCGGAACATACATGGAGTATTTTTGGATACGCCCAGGTGTGAGCAATCTAAAACAGTATTGACATCACTACTTGGAGCACTCTGTATACAACAAATAAATACACGCGCCGCGGGTGTATTATAGCCACCCGCTGCATTACGTTACGTTAAAATTGCAAAGTCAATTGCATACGCACATACTAACACCACCGAGAATTATGATTATTTAAATTGTTTACATCTTAATTCGGTATCATTACAAGTCTGAAATGTTTATTAATGTTTATAATATTAGAGATGTACATTATCTTAAGTGACTATTAAACAAGTTAAGCGATAAAACTGCTGGCCATTAAATTGAGATATTTGGGGACGACACAGTATTCATTAGAAAAATTAATTACACAAAATAAATAATGAATTAATTAAATAACATCATATTATCGGACAACACAATAACAAATAATTGAATTAAGTGAAATAATCAAGAAATAAAATTAACTAAAAATTACGGACTACTCACTTGAATATACTGAGAAAAGCTCTACTAGTTTCGATGCAGTAATGTCAGTGCAAGTAGGCTGCGCGACATAGCCGCGACGGCGCACGCTGCTCATGAGGAAGGAGTCAATCTGTGACTCGAGATTAGCAAAGCTTTTCTAAGTATATTCACGTGAGATGTGTCACGCTAGTTATTATAAATAAAATTAACATGATCTATGGGAAACAGGTGCCCAATGACAAAGAAAAATAAAATAAATGTATCCATTTAACTATTATTGCAAAAATCAATAAAATACAATATTCATACATAATTTAAGTATCTTAACTAAAATTAAATAGTTAAAAAGTCAAATGAATAAAATAACAATAAAAAAAATATTATACTGTGCCGAGTTTTACACATCACGGAGAAGCATCTTAAAAATAAAAATAAAAAAATAGACTTAACATCTAATTCCGATTTTCATCTCTTTGGAACACAGAGTAAAAAATAAAGGAATTTGGCAATGCGACATGGTTGTTTAGCCACCATTTTTATCTACTGAACATTTTAACAACTAGAACTATAGTAATGGTATTGAATTGATTATTTATCATATGAGTACATCGTGGATACTTGAGTTACGCAAGACTATAGTAAGTAAAATAAGTCCATTTGCACGTTGCGCAAAAACAGTCCGGTGGGTACAACTGATCCCCTTGCCACGTCGACGGTACACTTTCACACCCGCGTCTCCTCGTTCGACCTTCATGCTGACTCTGCAGCGCCGAGTGACAGCAGCCGACTGAACCTCGCCTCTCTCGTCATCGCTGTGTTGGTCGGCCGTCGCGCGTCGCAACGCATCATTCGACAGAGCGCTATCATCGGTTACACTACTATTATGATATGCACCACTGTGTACCGATGACATCTAATACGGGGTCTTCAGTATGAGATTCTAGTGCTTACACTCCTAAATTGCAGACTTTATTTCTTTCGTTTGACATCCATAGACCTATAATGGCAAGTGACGTAAGTCGGTGTCATGGAATATCAAAGAGCTAAAGTTTATTATCAATCTCTGTCGAATCATGCTTTACAACACTATCAGACGGTAAAGGACTTATGACCCGAAAAAATCGATTTAATCTTACATAATGTGATGCTTTTGGCTGCTATGGGTGAGCCGCGTCATAAACTACTAGATTAAAATATACCATTCTCCAGGTCGAGTAAGTATTTGTCCGTTACCGTCATGGCCTGGTGGGGATTTATATTATGCTGCTGTTATAGCGTCAGTTTGTGTTAAATACTAAGGCCGTTGTCATGCTGTATAAATTATAACACTATGCTACATATCACGTCCAAATGGGCTCTATGACTTATACAGCATCACAGGACCATACGCAACATTCACACATATCCTTTCAACAAATCCAGATGGGATTATAAAAAAGGGACAAACTATAGGACGCAAGCAGCCACGTTAAGGACCGACACAGACACTAAGATGCACTTTAACAGTGCCAAGGCGCGTAGAGGTTTGCGTAGCGACGCAAGAGGCGTCGGTTCAGTCGTTGCTATTCGTCGCACTTACGGCAAGCCCCAGGGACATCGAAGTCAAGAACGAGTAGCTTGGTTTCCTCTGTGCCATTGCGCGAACCGACGGCACAGATGAGTTTAGTAGCGGAAGCACGAATACGCCAAACAACACCACCGGAACCACCAGAGCCTAATACCACCAGATTTCGGATGAACTCTCCCGTGTGGACATCCCATAACTTGACAGTGCCGTCATCCGAAGAGGTGATAACGAACCGGTTGCTCGACTGAAGGCAGGTGACGGCTGACTGGTGCTTGTTGGGACCTGTAAAGCAAAAATGTTGATATTTAATACTTACTATTAATAAAATATTCTAATTATTATTTAAGATTCATCACTTACCGGACAAGGTGTGGAGACAGTGTCCCGTGGTTATATCCCAGACCTTGACAGTAGAGTCGGCATTACCAGACACCAGGATATTGGAATGCAGTTCCATACCCGACGTGAGAGACTGGTGGCCAGTCAGGGTATGCTTGAGTTGTCCAGTTTCTACATCCCACACCCGGATAGAAGTATCCAAAGAGCCGCTGACCACATGAACGCCATCAAACTAAAAGGTAAAGATAAAATTACAATATTACCTAAACTGAATTAATATGAGGGATATATGACAAAAATCTAGGCAGACAGTTAACTATTTTTATTAGTAATTTATTATATCATAGGTTCGTGGTTTAAAATATTTGGGCATTTCCAAGTCATAGTGTCATCTCATTTCTTATTACCATCACCCAGTATTGAGTACCTCACAAAATGAACTTCGTTCGAAATAATAAAATATCTTCATGGAATACCTTCTCCACCATCTCTATCCCGTCTATATATTATATTAGCTTCTGCCAACGGCTTTGCCCGCGGTCCCGTGGGATAATCAGATACAAAGCCTAATGCCAAATTCCGTGCTATTACGGAGAATTTGAAATGTAGCCCAGTTCAACAATAGAATCCCAATAAATCCAATAAATGATGTAAATAGTAAAAAATATATTACCTGCAGACTGTACACCCTGTTGGTGTGTCCAGCGAGGGTATGCAGGCAATCACCGGTTTCAGGGTTCCACACTTTCACGAAATAGTCGTACGCTCCAGACACGATGAGTTTCCCATCAAACTGCACGCATCGCACGGCAGCCAAGTGACCGATGAGAACACGGAGACAACGGCCATCAGGTATGGACCACAGCCGAAGAGTAGCGTCGCGGGATCCAGATACCACTCTGGGGACAAAAAAGAAAGAGTTTATTTCTCCTGTTCAATCAAACCGATGTTCTTTCTTCAGCAGTATGATAGTTACAAATTGATAATTAATTCGCCTGGCATATAATCGGAAAAGTTGCAATTATATTATGATTGCCTTAATATGAATTTTGTAGCAGATTTCACAATAAGACGTTGTAATTCGCTAGCATTAAATGACATTTTTAATTTCATTAAAATAGGTACAAAAGATGAGGCATAGCAAATTTAACTAGAAAAGTAATTATTATTTATGGTATTTCATAGATGTTTTCTTTTTCTTTAAAAACTATTACCCCACACTAGGATTTTCTCCTGTGTCGTGGGTGCGTTTACAAACATACAAGTTCGTATAAACATCACACCCACACTCGAAACAACAATATGTGGATCACACAAAAAGGTAGTTTCGTGCGGGAATCGAACCAATGACACGTTGCGCAGCATCCGGTTGCCCCGCCACCGCACCAACCGTGCAGTCAAGTCAATGTAAAAACAATAATTTTTTTTAACACCTTGAACGCCATGGGGGACAAGGTATGGGCCACGACAGCGGAGGATTTACCTTCAACAGTTTTCAGTCGGCAGTTAAACTGTTAATTGACTTTCCTCATTGAGTAATAGAGTCGCTTGCTAAGATCCAGCTGTTTCCATTACTGTGCCTAAACTTCTCACTAATTTTAGTAGCGTGACAATACAATTTTCGACGATACTATTTTTATTACGACCAAGGTCATAATGTAACACAATAGATAACTGTGAATATTCGCAAATATTGTTTCATTTACCACATGACTGTCTGTATCTTATTCATTCAAAATCTATCGTTAATTGTATCCCAGCATATTAAAGCATAACATAGATGAGGATGACAACTAGGCAAATTAAATGTTACATTTTTGAAATGTTAAAACAATAATTTTAAGTAACATTGATCACTTCTTACACAACATAACACGCCTCTTATACCCGAAGAGGTAGGCACATTACGGCACTTAATGCCACTGTACAATGTAAGACTCATTTTTCACTATTTCTGTTATGAGTCCCATGTAATAGAGGGCGATCTTATTGAACCTAGAACACATCTCACACAAATTCTAAGAAACTATCAGTTTTGTTCACTCTGGACTTCACAGTGTGTTAAAAATGTGAAACATTATAACGTCATTAAAGTATGCCTTACAGACTTTAACATGGCCTAGTCAAATGTTTAAAATACATTTTAATAACCATCCTAACCTCACAGGTGTAGGTAATAGGCCCCCTTCTTATTAAAGGGGGCCTACTACTAAGGCTATTGCCTTATTATTGTGATTATTTTTGTAATATTTTTTTATGGCATAAGCCGGTAAACGAGCAGACCGATGACCTGATGGTAAGCAATCGGCGTCGCTATGGACACCTGGAACACCAGAGGCGTTACAAGTGCGTTACCGGCCTTTTGGGGATTAGGAGTTTGAAGATCGTTGGGGATTCAGGGATTGGGAAGCTTTTATTGTATTGAACAATATAATTTTATTTAAAAATTGTTTTTTGTTTAAGGAAAGTATCCCAATTACAAAACCGTAATACTTATGTAACATTACCGGTGCAACAAAATTAATTAATACTTTGGTATACTGCAGCTGTAACCAAATGCCATTTAGCGTTTGTCTCCATGTAGAATAAAATAAACAAATTATATGGGATTGACGTAAATTTTGACAGTGTCATCCCCATACATAGTTTCTATTCTCTGTAGACAAGGGCTAAAGTGGTGTTTGGCTCTTTAGCCAGTGCCTTTGCACTGAACGTATTATTAAAAGGACATTGGGTAATGTTGGGTCTACCTCTCAATAGGAATAAGATACGCCTTTATGGATAGGTATCTTATGCAGAATAAAGCTTTGTATTACGACCAAGGTTAAAAGTTAAGGTTTTGAAACTGTGGTCACAGTACCCAATAGTTGCTAATAAAATGTTCCCGACCTAAGGGTATAATAACTTAAACTCACTTAATTGTAAGATAAACATTCCACACCTCATTGTTTACATCTCTACTACTTCTACATGTAGCCTAAGAAGGCAATAATTATAAATAGCTACCCGTTTAAAGACTAGCCTCGGCAAGCAGAGCTTAACCTTTATGCGTGATATTATTTAGAAGTACGGTCCTCTCTCTACCATACAGCATGATTCTAGTACCAAGTAAAAAGAACATCAATAAAGTGTATAAACATTTAGATTGAAATGACTTTATGATGTTGTACCTCCGACGATACTAATATTTGACCATAAGTAATATACTAAGTAAACTATTGTTCTATTTAAGAAGTCCTATCCAACAGTATATCACATGTAGCTATTAAACGGGGAGGGGACGAAGACCCCATGCATTTGGCTTGCAGTATCCTTTACGACACATGCTGTATAATAATTCTCATAATTTGATAAGTAAATAAATAAATGAGTGTTTTTAAATACTGAAATAGATGTATATGTTGAAACCATATTTGACTGAGTCATCATCTCAATTGGTCCAGATAGAGGGAACATTAAAAAAGTAAAGTAATAAGCACCTTGCTTGCATAGCGCCAAGTATTAACTATTCCACTTCGTAGTAGAGTAAAGACATTACATTGTTTTAGTTAAAATTGCATCACTAATATGTGGAAAGACATACTTATTGTAAGGCTCTAAACAGACGAACCGCATTTCAATTCCATTCCAACTGTAAATTGCAGTACAGATGCATTTTGAACGCAGTTGAGACGACTGCAATAGAACTGCTCATTTGGTTTGCAACTGTTCGGTCATGACTGCAATACAACTGTAAGTTTGGTTTGCAGTTCAATTGCAGTCTTAACACTGTACTCAAACTGCAATTTGTGGTTGGATTGCAGTTGAAATGTGGTCCGTCCGTCTAGAGCCTAAAATATGCGACCATGTACAATTGGTTGCTTTAATTGGTAACAAAGAAACAAAATTATTTATTTTACGCTTTATTTAGTAAAGCAATATCTTTGAAATTTTGTATATGAAATCATTAGGAGTACTGGGGACTTAGAGTTCGCGCGGGCAAAAGCTTAAGCCCATAATCAATTTCCATCAAAACGTTAGTTAGAAAAAAGTTTTGTACCATGACACATTTCCCGTGAAATACCCAACCAAATCATTGTTTTTGTTATAATTTTAATGACTAATTATTGATTTCACTAACAAATATAAATTTTCTTAGAAAAATCTTATTATCTTTGTTTAATGATTACAAGGCGATACACAAGATTAAGTTCGCTACGAAGCGTTAGTTATATGCAACAGAAATAGATAAGAGCTAGCACGTAATTCAATAATAAACAAAATTATCTATATTTTGTTATGAATTACCACAAACAATCGCAATATTATCTCAATAGTACGCAATCGCTTGTAATCGTACTGAAGTTTAGCGTCGCAAGCAGTTTTGTTAAAATATGTAGGTATATGTAGGAGGAACGAATTGAACAAATAAGCATTTTACAAATGGTTAATTTAACAAAAAATTTGCCTGTGTTCAGCAGTGAATGCCTTGGGGCTGATATGATGATGATGAACAGTAATTTTATCGCTTAGTATATTTTAACTAAAAGAACAATGATAAACAAACGCAAATTAAACATTTATCTACTTAGAGAAAACACCAATACTGTAAGCATAAGACACATTCAACATTTAATTTGTTCGCATAATCAGCATAGATATACGTACTGCTATTTAAGAAACATATGGAAAAGAGCATGAGAGACAAATATAATTATGGTAATCAATCAGGCAATATGGTAAGCTACCAGCTAACTCTCACATAATACAGACATTGTCTTTCTAGAACTTCTTTTACGAATAGGTGGCGTTTTATGAAGACTGAGAACTAGTATAATAATTTCGATGTTTTTAAAGTATACCTACGAGAAACTGTGTTGAGAGAATAATATTTAATTGGTGAGAAATATGAAAACTCATTAAGTACATTGTCAAATTAATTAATCAATGTGTGATTATTTTTTAATATTGTGTAGAACAGTTGAAACTATTCGTTTTTTTACTGAAGATACCACCCAATTGTAAATGGAATTAAGTGCTACTTATTGAAATGAAAGTATTGTAATGTTTACCTGTTTTGATGCAGGTGCATGCAACGCACGGTCGAAGTGTGCCCTGCGAGGACCTTCAGGCATTGTCCAGTCTTTGCGTTCCATACACGAAGAGTTCGGTCAGTAGAGCCACTGATCACCAGGTCATTCACCATCTGGGAGGACCATACGCCACCGGAATGACCCACCAACGTGCGCAAACACTGACAAAGAGATTACATAATCAGTTGTTAATTTTACAAAATAAATTGCATTAGATGTTCAATTATCTGCAAACCTGCGCATTAAATTGTCATAAGCTATATCTTTGTTTGTGTATTAAACTCAGCTGAATATACGAAACAGCGGGACTGACGACTGATAACATTAGCAACAGTGATAACAATATTAAACGCTATACTTTACACAGCCCACCTTGCCGGTGACGGCTGACCACACTTTGAGTGTGGTATCGTCACTTCCACTGAGGATGCGATTGCCATAGAACTGTAGGCAGGTGATCACGTGGTCATCATGTCCCCTCATGATAATAGGCGTGGCTACAGGCTTATGCAGCCAGTTGCTCTCAATCAGATACTGCCGCATGTACGCTGCCTTCCAAGGACTGGCGCAGCGGGGCAGGGAACGAGGCACCTTCTTCAAGGTGGTGATACCGATGCGCCGACATTGCTCCTTCCACAAGAGATTGTCTTCCAAGGAACCTGTATTTTGAGATTATAATTATATACTTTGGGATATCTTTATCACATTAAGAAGAAAACAAATTTTAGTGCAACACTATTAAAAATGTCAGTAAAACAAACACAACACTTACTTCCAGTAGCGACAAGTTTGAGCAGCTCTCAGCAGATCCTTGGGTTGCAAATACCCGAGCACAGTGAGAGCGAGTTCCTTAGGCAGAAGGGATATAAAGTCTCGTTGGAAAAGTGGTTCAATGGACTTCATCATGTGCCGGACCTGACTCGGGGCACAGCAGCCTATGAGCTCATCAATAGCCTGGATCTTCTCCACGTTGGTCCAGTTATTGAACCTAGATACAAATATTACGAGTTTATTAAGTTATTTTTATACTATAGTGAGGTTAAACTACTAGGTATGACCAAACATTGGAATACTTAATAATTCTAGCAGCCGTTGGTTACAATAAGCAATTTGTTGTTTGGTGTCACTTAAGAGAGACTTGTTCTAGCGGATAATGACGATAGTATTAAATGGCTTTACACAAAAACATTTCGAGTCTTATATTTACTAACCTGTTAAGCCAGGACTTGATCTCCGGCGGAGCTTGCGCGGCGATGACACTAGTGTTGGGTACTATGACGCTAGTGGGAGTTGGCCAGCCTTCAGATCCAAAGGATGTTGGTGACGGAGACTCTCCGCAGAATTTCTTAACAGTCTGCGGTGGGTGTGGATCATGACGGCGCTTCCTCTGTAAATGAAGACGTAAGAATTAACATACATGACACGTAAATGCAACAACTTCCTTTTTGTTAATCATAAATACCATAAGAACAGAATAGCAAGACTGGAGCGACGTTAATTTGAACACTTGATCATTAGTTGGCTTTAATCTGAACAAAATACTATTTCAGTTTCTAAAATGAGCACGCCATCAGACTGGGACACATTACCATCAGATTATGCCGAGTTCAAATGATCGAGACTCCATTGTTCGTAGACTATTTGAGGCAAAACATGAGATGTATGTCAGTGTGAGTTACGCGCCGCTCAATCAATTCTGAATTATATTTGAATTGTCAATAGGATAAACTGTATATCCGCGTTCAGGCTCTGAGTGGTTGACCTCAACCTGCCTACAGCTCATGTTTAAAAAACTAAGAATTTTAGTAAGGACTGGACATTAGATGTTATCATTCAGTATATCTTTTAGCATAGAAAATAATAATATCAGTATAGAAAACACAAAACATAAATAGAAAGGTCTAGTAATGAAACTCACACAAACACCAGTCCCTCAAGCAAACCACTCAAGAAAAATAAAATGCAAGCAAATGAGACTTGACTGATTGTTCCTATTTATGTTACAAGAGGACAATTTCGCGATTAAGTCGAAGGCAGAATACAAAAATTACATTTGATAGCAACTTAATACTTTAATACGCTAAAGTGTACTTTATTTACTGTAATTGTGTATATTGCTCACGCGATTTTTATTAAATAGTTCAACACACTTGCCAATATATATGCACACTACCCGCCAAATCGGATAAGTATTTTTATCGCATCTTTTTTTGTGTGAACTTTGACATGCGACATTGGCGCCATACAGCCTTATTTATAAGAATCGAATCTTTGTGTTCATGTAACATTGACAAAATCCTTCTAACAGCATTTTAAAAAGTTTTATCCAATATTCCGATTTATTGACTTAACTGAGTACTAAAACATTGCATTTGATTCACTAGACACACAATGCTTGCAATTTTCATTCAAATAGATAAAATTGCACGCCAATTGGGTTAAGCGGACTTAATAACACCTATCCCGCATGACTTTTTATGTTGATATTTTACGTAAAAATAATGTTAATTAAAAATCAAAGGAATTCGGGTAAGATAAAAAATTTGCATAATTGTATGTACATAGGTACGCAATAAGCTTAGTGTGTTGAAATACTTAATACACAAACCAAATCCAATATCAATACATATCACCATTTAAATAAAATAAATGTTAATAGAAGCTTACATAATATACAACACCTATCGCCCCACACAGTGAAATTTTCAAGTACAAAGAATACACTTTTACCAGTGACATGGATTGATAACAATCCACAAATATTCCTTCGGATGCTATAAAAATAGAATCGTACAAATGACACCACCACTTCGACAAAGAAAGCGTTTGATACTGTTAGATACAATAAGAGAAATAGTGTTGACAAATATTCCACGCCAGAATTACCTCCCGACCCTGTTTCAAACATACACATTATCCTTAAAATCCAAACGGAACATACCTAATTAATTTTGCATAAACAAACCCTTACGGCGAATAAGATTCAAAATATCATGCAGCTAATTCATTCGAATATTATAGGTATTAAATGCGTTTCTTGCATAGCTTGTAATATATAATATATTAAAATAAAATAAACATTATATAATTTTATCAGTCAATTTAACACGATATAATGCATAATGAGCTGAAGCTGCAAACCTGTACTTAACCAGAGATCAAAATCTATGTAAAATATAGAATAATTATTTAACTAAGTTACCTTCTATTTTTTTTTATTTTGTCATATAACCTACAGATTTTTTGCAATATGTAATATTATTCCATTGCTATCAATTTGTGTAAAATTTTTTTACACTGTTTTATATAAAAATCGAGAAAGATTAGGACAACACTATAGATCAATGTTTTTATGCATTTATAGCCAAATGAATAATACATTATCGAGAGCGGTTTTCTGAATACCTTAACAGCTATTAGTTACGCCGCGGCGTTCAATAATGTATACTTTATTAAGATTCATGTCGATCTAACGCATCTTAAACATTTCACCATGATAGAAGCAGACATCAGTTGTGTTCACATATAAGTTCATTGCTTTTTACTTTCCAGATTAATAATAAATGGATATCACGAGACTTACGGCCGATTTAGCAGTCCTGGGACAATTTCTCTTCAACTGAGACATTTACAAAATAAAACTTGTGTATTAAATATCTAAGACTTATATTCCAGCGAGGGTCCTGTAAAACCGATACTTCGTGTAGTGTTTAGAGGTAAACGGTTCATAGTTGAATGGCCAGTAATTCCAATTCAATCGAACAAATTGTGGTCCGTGTTGACCTGTCGACCCGAAACATAATACGTGAGGAGTGGGTGTTTTACACGACCATTTAGTTAAATCAGTAGGGAGTTATAATTGACCGATTTTTGAGAAGCTGAATCTAGAATATACCTCTCAGATCGATGGACTAAGCCTACATGTATTCAAGTTAAAGATTAACTTGAATTATAATGGAGGAAAAGTATGAATATACGTGCCCGTGGCATTGGCCACGATCTGAGTCTGCTTTCATGTTAATTTCCTCAATTTGCACGCGTCAACCCACAAAATATGATGACTCTATGCATTTAATGTTTACTGGTTGCAGTTTTAAGCATTACCAACAACAATGCTAATCGTAAATCGGCATGTCCTGTGTAAGATGTCGTCATAACTGACAATAACATTCTAAAGAAATTACCTACAAAACTAAATCGCTGAGTTGATTTAAAAAGGAGTTTGTATGTATTTACCTATCACGTAAATGACTGTGCGATACGAGTATATCTAGATTTTTTTACTAGCCCCTAAATTCTAACGTAATGATATCTACAAGGTTAAAATTATTAAGCTTTATAATAAATATCCAACCACCACATTAGTTACTGCAAGCTAATGAAAATGGAAATATTGCTTATATTTCATCGATACAACTTAAACTAAATGGAGTATTGATTGAAAAACTAGGATTTCTTTGTAGTTACAAACATAAGCAATAATTCCTTTTCCTACATCCTGTATTTAGTAAAACTGAGCAAACTAACACACGCCGTTTAGTGACCCGCAAAATATAGTTAATATTAATGCTGTGTATGAAACATTCATTCCAGTTGCAAAACCTTGGAATTGCAATGTTTAAATCGGGATCTAAACATTCTAGACGGCCGCGGGGTCCGTCCGACTAAAGGAATTAATTCTGTGCTTTATACTTTCTGGCTATTATATTACCCAAAGTCTTTCCGGTTCAGCTTCTGGTTCATCATCCTCGTCGTCATCCTGAAATACGCATTGTTTTACACACATTAAAAAAACTCACGGTACACTTTCAACATTGGACATGAAGTGAATATTTGATTGCAAGAGACGCGACCAATTGAGTAGCCGGTGCTAAAGGACGTATCAGTAAATAAGTATTTATTAACACTGAAAAAGGCTGAACATCTGTACATACATAAACGAGACACGTTGCTTTTACTGAAACCTACAATAGGTTTGAGTTACAGTTAAAAGTTTCAAGTCTGTTTACATCGAAGCCTTTTCTCCGATGTTGAGATGAGACCAAACAAGTGTTGCCCAACAAGTTTTACGTCACGCAAGTTTTGAAGAGTGACAATCAGTCTATACTTTCAAGGTCGTATTAAAATAGAATGTCAGAGAATTTACTACGTTTTGTCTAAGAAAAATGGAGTTTCTTCATGGAATAAAACATGTAATTTGCTACAATTGGCCTCTACGAGCGCTATTAGGATGCTGACGTCACGCCCGCATCATGTCTCCACGGTATGTATTATGTAGTACAAAGTGTTCAGACTGTGCCACATAAGCAATATTGTAGTATCGTAATACAAAAGAACAAATATTCACTTTATGGTAGTAGGCCCCTTGAAGTTTCAAGAAATAGAATGAAATGGAAAGAGAGAGGTAGAAATAGAAAGAATCATTCGTCTCATTCACTCGACAGAGTATTATTATAATTAAATACAAAATAATTACCTCATGAGAGGACAGGCACGTACACCACGTGTCTTCTGCGTCTCCTCGTCCGAATCTTCCTCGCCATCGCAGTAGTTGTAGTTCTGAAACAATCACATTCATTGTTAATCATTCTGTACATAACTCACAACACAACTCATCTGTTATATTGGTGTACAAGGTCCAATAACATCAATAATGACTTCAAATAGTGTCCGCTTGCTGTAGCAACTGTATTAATTAACAAAAATAAGTATTACAAGACATTTCACTTAAGTTAAGAGAGTATTTTTCAACTCACCGGAGACTTTGAACTCCCCGGCTCATTCTTGCTGCTGTCGTCAAGGCCGAGCAGCTTCTCAGCATTGGACGTGGACGGCACACTGAACCCCTTGGTGCTATCTGAACTAGAGCTTCCTATACTCGACGCGTTTGAACTGGTCCTCCCTGAAGGCCCGCTCACACCATCTATATCACAACCTTCATCATTATCGCAATCCAAATTATCTCCTTTATAAAGTTTTCCCTTAGGAAAATCTTTCTTTTCTTGTATATTATTATTCAACAGCTTCTGCATGAAATCCTCTTTTTGCTCATGCGCTACATATTTTTTTGAATGAATCATGTTCTTAATAGTAGTATTGGAATCATCCCCATCTTTGCTACAACCAGGGAGACTATAGTCATGAGGTATTAAATTGGAAAAATTAGAAATAGTCTCTGAACTGGATGCTAAACTGGAGTTAGCACTGGAGAGATTTCCAGAATAATGGGAAGGTGCCTCGATTTCACCATCGACGATCATTCCAGAACAATGTTTCAGGATTCTATTCTCTTCATCAAAATCTTCTCTTTCAATATCGTCGATTTGCTGCCTACCATTGTTGTGCGAGGCCCCTGGATTCTCAATAGCAGGATCATTATCAGTCTTTATCTCTTGTTTAACATTGAAGGGAGCGTTTGCCCCATCATAAATCTTCCCATTTTGTGAACATGGTGGATCCATCCTATTGAATGGTTCTTCCTATAACAAAAAGTTTATTTATGCAAGTTTGAGCTGTCACAAATAACATAAACAACACATTAATGAGACTAGAAAAGATATTGTAAATAATACATTTCAATAAAATGTTAACCCATACTTACGTTTGATCCGTAAATTGTTGGTATCCAGTGTATATGAGCAGGAACCCTGCAAAACAGGAATGTATTAGTGTTTGCCACTGATCTACAAGTACACACAAACATTTGCTTATTTTGTGTTGATTTTGGAACATTTACAATGTACCTAGCATTCATGTTAATTTGGTACAAATAACGCGCACTTTATTTCGCAACATTGGATCTTCGAGTTCTTTTCGCAAATTACATATAAACTACCATTGCACAAACTAATATTATCTAGTTATGACACTGTGGCGATAACTTTCAAACGACTTTTAGGGCCGATTTTTCAATTATCTGTTAATTCTTAACTGTGTATTACTGTTAACATTTGACAGTTTTTAGTATAGAGGAATTGTCAAATATTCAAAGTTATTTCTCAGTTAAAATTTAACTGGCGTTAGAAAAAATCGGCCTGCAGATGAATGCTAGACAGTTACGACTGTATGAAACAAAAAAATGCTAAAGCCATTCGTCGCCAGATATTGCGAATAGGTATCATTTAATGACAGCATGTGAGGGTTATAAGTTGATATGGAACTCATTTATATTACATAGAGTAGTGATGAAACGATTAAGTTGATTGAACATGATGCACAAGCGTGAAACATACATTCTTCTATATATTTAATGCCTTAACCCCTTCCTCAATCGTAGACCGCATCATCGCTTACTACCAGGCGATGTAATGGTCAAACAACAGCCCACCAAAAATAAAACTCCCCAATCCCTGAATCACCATCAATCCTCAAATTTGTAATCCCGAAAAGGCGGTAACGCATCTAATGTTCTGTGTCTCCATGGGCGACACCGATTGCTTACCATCAGGTGATCCGTTTGCTTGTTTACAGTCTGATTATATTAAAAAAAGTTGGAAATCAATAAAAAGGTCCTAATGTGGTAATGAAGTGAACTAGTTCAACATGTACTAATGCAGGGTGACACTACTCATCAGAAATATTTGTTGCTTCTACAGTTCATACACAACCACAAATGAATGTAACTACACATAAACCATCAATTACACCGTCATATTCACGTAAATTGGATCATTTAAACCATTGTCAGGACATAACCCTCAATTCTGTGAACCCACATATAAGAAGTAAGACAGTTCTCACAACTTACACCACAATGTTTCCAATGTTGTGTATTGCAAACAGTTGAAGGAAAACAGAGTAAAAACAAAGATTACAAAACAATCACTGTTCTCATAGTAACAATGAATGGTGATGGCAACTTGCCATGAAGAGTGTCCTTAAAAACAATGACTGTCACAAAAGCACACTACAAGGAGGCACAGATAGACTGAGAAGAGATTAAAATAATAAAAAATAAGCTTCATAGGTATAAGTTTAAGAATAACTTGGCAAGCAGGAGAACAGGTAACATCTTTCACTTACAGATACATGTCAAACTCAAAACAGATTACAGTTTACATGTTTCATCATCACCACACCACAACTGTAGAGAAAAATATTATAAAGTAACCAGCTTCTGATGGAGCCAAGAGGTCAATATGATGGTATCCACTAAACCATAGTGTAACCACACCCACCCACTATGACCTCTCCCTCACTCACAAGTCCAGTCCTCCATTCATAGAAATAATGGATTATGATAGTGGTATACAAATACTTTTTGTTAGTTATAAATAAAAATGATAAATTTTCAATCCAAACCTTGTCGGGAAAGTAAGAGATTTTGAGAAAGGAAGGAGAAGAACATGTAATTCAATTAAATGAAATCCTACTGTAACTGTTGAATTATGGTGTTGTGACAAAATATTAAGATAAACTACAAAAACAATAAGAAAACATTCAAATTTTATCACAAACATTGATATTATTTAAAAGAATACTACTACTACCTACTTGACAAATGTGTGCCAATGTTCAATAATAATAGAAAAACTTATTTTTTTATTGCCCTGCGCCAACAACACATTGCTTCCATAATAGAATGGCATTTAAAGATGACCATAATAAGAGGTTCATCAAATGTCAGAGGATATATTGTTGGCGATATTATTACACACCATATGGGCAGAAATATGTTGATATTTATCCCACCTATATTTTATAGGAGCTAATTATGGAATAAACTAGAATCATATCTCATTTTACACTACTAAGTATATAAAAAAAGTTTGGTGAACAATCTCAAAATATGAAGCCACACACATAGGTATCATGTCATACAAGATTAAAACAGAAGTGTTTATTACACTCTCTATTTCTGAATTGCTAAACCATAACAATCTGGTTTTTAATCGTGTATAACATAAAATACCTACAATATCTGGATGGGATTAGTATACTACCTTACAGGCTGCCACGATCTCATACAATACTCCAATGGTCTGTCCCATGACCTCAAATTCGTCATGGGAAATGGAATCGCCCCACACGACGAACACCACCCCAATCCATGCGCCGAAACGCGATACCGATTCATTTGATTCTCCCTCGAATTCATTATACAACGACTAAAGTAGCAGAAAATCCTTATTACTCATTAAAACTTCATTTTAATTCAATCATGGATTACTATCAATGCTAATGAAAATCAAGATCTAATAAGAAAATCTTTTAAATCCTAAGTATCCAAAATGTACAGAACAAGTGAGCGAAAATCAATCAATACTTAATGGGCAGGTCTGCACCCACATATCTACCTATGCATAAGTACTATATATACAAGTGCATATAATTGCAGTTCTTTGTCAAGTGCTCAAAATCCCTGAATGTCTTATTGAGAGTGTTTAGAGCACATTTTAATGATAAGACAGAAGGAGTATTAAGGAACAACAAGATTACAAGGCCATTGTGTTGGATTGTTTCTTTGGCTCTACAACTCTAGGCAATGTCATAATCAAGGCCATTACAATCATATGTTCAACAATAATGTTACTTAGTTACACATAACAAAAGAGCACACAATATTAATAACCGCAATACAAAGACACGACTCCATGCACCGACGCGAAATACGATCGAAACTACGAACGCGGGCCCCTGGGCAGAGCTAGTACTTGCATCTCTACAGGAAGTATATCACATGCGACATTATTTCATAATAAAAAAACTCCACGCGATCACGTCTACTACCGTGAGAATCTTTTTTTATCACCAAAACGCAGGATTAACTTGCATCCGTCTCAACAAAAAAAAAATATATGGGAAAAATTTCTCACTAACTATTTATGGCGAAACTGACTGGCTTTGCATAATTACAACTTCGGACTGACGCGCACAAATCAATATTGACCTATAGTTATGAGTTATAGAGGGATGCGCAGAAACGCATCGCGAGTTCAATACCTAGTGTTACCTGGGTGGGATTTTGAAAGGCGTGAATACATAAAAAGTGGCATGGGGAACCTATTACGTGCCTCACATCTGCTGCAATAAAGTTTAAATTTCGTTGCTTACCTGTTTGGCTGCCTGCAGTTATAATTGTTTGATTACTTTTGCATTATGTTTGTTATAGAAGCATAGTTTGAAAAAGTCACTGAATTAAAAATAATTTAGTGCAATGTGCACTAATCTATAACATTAACTTCAAACACCGTGGTCGGCCATCGACCATAGACTAACTAGAGACCACAGACAAATTTTGTTGTTGAGTAACATTATGGTGTACATTCTGCATTTTACATGATGATCTTCGTATTCGTTCGTAAACATTAGGTTTGATGTCCTTTTAGGCACATCGTCCACCTCGATATTGATATATTTATTATTTATTCATGGGCTGCTTGATGGGTGCGTTCGTCTTGTGGCGTGGTTTGATTAAAGTCCTCGGTTCTATCATCATCAGCCAAAATATCGTTTCCTCATAGCAAAAAGTAATTTTTTGATCTTCTATAAAAAACATCTATAATGAATGATCTATGATTATATCCCACACTCAAGAAAATATTAGGGACCTGCTATAACTTCGAATAAAACAATATAATTTTACTTCACAGTATTTTGTAATGGCGGTTTGAACTTGGGGTATTACTTTGTGATACAATGAAAAATATTTATATTTTTATTACTATAATTATTTTTGTTGTGAATTTCATTCTTATTTACTTATTTTGGCTTTTTGACTGACTATGGCTTTAAATATCAGCTATATCTATTACATATAACATGGTTGAGTAACACGTTCACAACATAACTTTCTTGGTAATTTTCTAGTGCAGCAAAATATTAGTAACATTTATATTTTTAATTCACTAACAACCTCTTGAAGAAATCGTGTTAGATCCCTTATTCAAAGTTGATCAGTACAAGGGATGGGGAGGGGGTTAATGACCCCATGGCCCCTGAATCCGACCTGAGCTAGTTCCAGGCATTATAAATAAAATCATTATGTTCACATAATGATTTTAGTTATATACTAGTTTCTGCTAGCATCTTCACCCGCGTGCCCGGGGTCTAGCTTATATATTATTCCAGACCATAATCCTCCGTCTCAAATTTCATCCTCGTTCCTTTAGAAGTTATGTTGTGACTGAGTGACAAACATACATACAAATACGCAAACGCACAAATTTTCGCGTTTCTGTTATGTTTGAGATCTAATTATCTATATGAGAACAACCACATATAAAAAAGACACAACAAGTTTATTAATTTACCATTGAGATATTAGACAACCTTAAATTCTACCCATAGACAATCATTACCTATCCATTAATATGAAGATCAATGTTTCATCTACATACTTTCGGAACCATGGACGTATTGCAAACATATTATTAACAAACATGGACTTTAGTATACTACGTCCAAGTTTAAAACCAGTATTTAATCTGTCTATTATTTTAATCACGAAAACGAATGTTTGAAGAACTAACAACATTAAAATTCAAGAAGAAAACAAAAAAGACATTAAATTTATGGCAACACTCACTCAATAAAAGTATGTTGAATGTCATCAGCTGTTTGTTTTGCATTTCCAAATAGTTTTTTTTTTGTTAAAAAGAAGTTTATCAAACATCAAAGAGGTATATTCAGTAGTATAGAGAAATCAAACATGCAAAAGAACAATTTTTTCGAAGTAGAGCTCGACTCGATTGTATTTCGAGTATAAAAGGATTTTCAATAGAACAAGGAACTTGACACAGGTCGGAATTGTGTTTATTTACTGTTTATAATAAATCTGTCAGAACCCAAAAACCTACAAAGTAAACAATTTTTTCTAAAACTAGCTGTTGCCCGCGACTTCGTCTGCGTAGAATATGAGTTTTGGGACATAATTTTTTTATTTTAATTTACCGAAATTAAAATAGCTTGTTACTCCTTAGTTGATCAGGTACCTGTCAGAAAAGTCCCGCCAAAATCGATTTAGCCATTTCAGAGATTAATCAGTCCAAACAGACAGATAGACAAAAAAGTAAAAATAATAATAATTATAATATTTATGGTATAGGTATCATAATATGTAATTATACTAATTCATAATGCATGTAGTTTGCATTTATTTCAATTACTTCTATATTACAAACAGACACTCCAATTTTATTTCTCTTCTCTATGTAGATCAGGATTATTTACATTGCACATTTTTTTTAATGGTATAAGCCTGTAAACGAGCAGACGGATCACCTGATGGTAAGCAATCGGCGTCACCCATGGCCACCTGGAATATCAGAAGCGTTACAAGTGCGTTACTGGCCTTTTAGGGATTAGGAGTTTGAGGATCGTTAGGGATTCAGGAATTGGGGAGATTGGGGAAGGGGAGGGTAATTGGGCCTCCGGTGACCTCACTCACACGACGAAACACAAAGCAAGGGTTGCTCCAAGTCGGGATTCTGTGAGCCGGCCCATTCGTGCCGAAGCATGGCTCTCCCACATCATCATCATCATCAGCCCGTATTCATCCAATGCTGGACATAGGCCTCTCCAATGGCACGCACTGAGCTCTGTCGGTCTCCAGCTCTTCTCATCCAACCACTGCCAGCCACCTTGTGGATGTCGTCACTCCACCTAGCTGGAGGGTCCCCCCCACATTTTTTGTTTTTTTTTTTAAATTTGATGGGGCGACGTTTGACTTTGTTTTCCAAACTTAGTTTAGACTGCCTACCTATAAGACAATAGAGTTCCACAAACTTTTTGTTTGCATGGTCCCTTTTAACTTTTATATGAGCTTGCCAAGTGAGTTTTTTGTCTAAGTGTATGCCTAAGTATTTAACTGCCATGCTTGTTGGCAAGACAAAAGCATACAGTGTTACTGGATAATTTAACTTTGACATGATTTTGTCAGTGTTAACAATAAGCGAAGGAGGTTCCTATATAAGAATCTCATGGGGTTTCCCATGGCTATGATTCTTATATATTTATGTATGTATGTAACAATAAATTAGTGTAGGTACAACTATTTAATACCAATAATAACTATGACTAAAGTAGTAATAACAATTAAGATTAAATAATAAGTATTACAAATCTATGAAATTGTCATTTTGATTAAAAAATTTAAACGAATTTGTATTAATCGAAGTAATCAACCATGCAATCAATGCATCTTTGCCAACGCAATAGCAATTTATTGATGCCCTTAAAGAAATCAGCTGGACTGGAGCCAACAAATTCTTTAAAGGTATTTTGTACTGCCTCTTGGGGATTGACTTTTACCAGCCAACAAGTACTGGAAACGGTAATAGTCCATAGACGCAAGTTCTGGTGAGTAGAACGGATGACGGGGAGCTTCCAACCCCAGTTCTTGCAACTTGGAGACTATCTGCTGTGCAGTATGAGCTCGCACGTTGTCGTGCAGGAGCAGCGGAGACAAGCGATTGGCCAATGCTTTTAAGGCATTTTTCGTTTAGGTGGCGAACCAGGATCCAACCAATTTGCTTAGCGCTTGCGGTAATCAAGCAGAATCCATTTTTCATCGCAGGTAACAATGCGGATCAAAGTTTCTTCATTTGTGTTTCTGTTGAGCAGTGCAAGACACATCTCGCGTTCTTCGCACTGGCGATCATTGAGTTCTTGGGGCACCTATTTGTCAAGCTTTTTTACCTTGCCAATTTGACTCAAATCTATACTTATAATAAATCTGTAGAGAGGTCAATTCTGTACATAAAATATATTTAAAAAATAACTATCAAGGGGTGGTTCGGGATCGCTACTCATGCCAAAAATGCAATCAGTAAAATTTTTGTCTGTCTGTCTGTCTGTCTGTATGTTCGTTATGGAAACAAAAACTACTCGACGGATTTTAATGAAATTTGGCACAATTATTCTTCATACTTTTGGGCAGGTTATAGTATACTTTTCATTACGCTACGATCAATAGGACCGGAGCAGTAAAGGGAAATATTGGGAAAACGGGAGAAGTTACTCCATTTTTTAAGCTTCCGTCGCGTGTGCAGGCTTATAGGTTAAAGCTACATAGAAAACATGTATGACGGAAATATTCTCCTTAAAATTATATAAAAAATATTCCTCGACAGCATATGTCTATCTTTTATGGTTGAC